TCAATTTCTGATCTATTTCTCGCTTTATTTCTTGAGTCATTGCCTCCAGCAACCCTTGGATGTAGCTTTTGTCTTCCATTCCTGCTTTGCTCCCACTGTGGCTCTCCCCTGAGTGGCTGCTGGCTATTGAGGATAGCTTGCTATCCTGGGTGGTCATAAACCTTGTAATTTTTCTCTGTGATTTTCCCATGGGGGTTCAGGAGACTAATCTGCAATTTTGTTTTGGTGTGTCTGTCTTTGCTTGGTTGCTGATTCTGTATTGGTAGAGAGAGTCTGTGCCTGATCTGGGTTCTGTTGGGGGCCTACCTCCAGCTGCTGATCTGACCTACATAAGATTCTCGGCTCTCTGCTGTAGATCGCTGGCAATTCCTGCCTTTGGAAGGTTTGAGCACCCTAGACTGCTCGTGTTTGCTCCTACGGGTGCTCTTGGCAAGATCGGATGCTCTGGATACACTCTCCCAGATGCTGGAGTCTGCTATGGGCTCCTGATGTTTTTTGTTTGTTTTGGGGGGGGGGCTGGTTGTAGGCTTGAACTCTAGGTTTGGGTGCTATCCCTCAGCTCTTCAGCTCAAGGCTGGCACCCTACCATTTGAGCCACAGCACCACTTCTGACCCTTTCTGCTTATGTGATGCTGAGGAATCAGATCCAGGGCCTCATGCATCCAAGACTATCACTCTACTGTTGAGCCACCTTACCAGCCTGAGCTCCTGCCTACTATCAGGTGCTGGCGGCCTGTGTTGCCCAATTCCCAGCCTAGAGTATATGGGTCGTGTTTTGGTGGGGTTTAGGCTTCTCTTGTCCTGAGCCTCCAGATCTTTTGTTGTCACAGGCGTGCTTCCCAGGGGGTGCAGTTCCCTGTTTTTCTCTCCTCTGCTGAGGCGTATGCTCAGCTTTTGACTTCAGTTGGGAGGAGTTGGTTGTGTTGTTCAGGCGCCGGATCCCCAGGCCTGGTTCCAGCCCCCCACCTGGGGCGTGCCGGTTGGGCCTGTGCTGCTGTGTATACCACCTAGGTTATGCAGCCTGGGGTACACAGTTCAAATTTCTTCTACTGTTGGTTGTCTTGACCCAGGGGCACTGTTCCTGGCTTGGGCGTTTAAGCTCCCTTCCAGGGGCGCTCTTGCTCTAGCCTGGCCAGCGGAGTGTGCTCCACAGGCTGGTGGAGCTCTCGAACAGTTCCCAGTTTTAGTGGGCCCTGTGGTCCTGGTATTGGAGTAGGGAGTCTGGGTCAGGGTCTGGGGATTCCCTCCAGCTCTGGTCTCCCTTGAGGGATACACTGTCCCCTGTGGGGTACTCACCCTGGAGCTAGTTGTTTCTGTGTGGTATAGGTCGTCAGTTGCTGTTGCAATCCGAGTTCAGTTGGGGTGGTTGTGGGCTGGGCGGTGGTGGATCTCTTCTGTCTCTGCCTCTGTCGAAGCTGTCGGGTCCACAGTGTGCAGGCTCAGGTGGCTTCTGTGCGAGTTATCTGCATGCAGCTCCCTGTGTCTCTGGGACCCCCGGCAGCCCGGGCCGGGTCATTGCAATCGGCGGGTCTGACACGGGTACCTCAGGCGGCTTCTGGGCTATCTGCAAACAGCTCCCATTGTCATGCTGCCGGTGCTGGGCGGCTTTGGCGGGATGGAGCCTCTCTGCTGGGATGGAGAGTGAGGGGTGGGGGTAGGATCTACGTGGAGACTACCGGCTGGTAGGTTTCTCTGTGGTGATCAGCGGGTCTGCAAACCAGTACCTCAGGCGGCTTCTGCGCGGGTGATCTGCAGGCAGCCCTCTGTGTCTCTGGGACTCCAGCAGCCCCCGCTGGGCCAGCTGGCTGTGGCTTGGCACGCTGCCACGCAGCCAGTAAAAATTGGAGGAGGGGTCTTCGCTCTTCTTTGTTCTGAAATTCTTCTTTTCCTCTCTTTCTTTTTTGTTATTTTCCACCTCCTGTTTTTCTCTGAGTGTTCATCTTTTTTTTTTTTTTTTTTTTTTTTTGGGGGGGGGGGGGTCCGGTCGTGGGGCCTGAACTCTGGGCCTGGGCGCTGTCCCTCAGCTCTTCAGCTCAAGGCTAGTGCTCTACCACTTGAGCCACAGCGCCACTTCCGGCTTTTGTTTTTGCTTATGTGGTGCTGAGGAATCGAACCCAGGGCCTAAGGCATGCAAGGCAAGCACTCTACCACTGAGCCATCTTCCCAGCCCCTGAGTGTTCATCTTTTTATTGTTGTCGGTCTCTTGGGGAGATTAAACGTTGGAACTCGAACTCTCTTTTTGGTTGGGGAGAGCTGTGGTGTTTCCCTACTGCCCCGTCGCCATCTTGGTCCCCCCCTTCCGAAATCAATATTTTAAAGAGATTTTTGAACCTTCAACAAAAAACCTAACTTTGGTTAGACTTGGCCCAAATCACTTTGGTCATAAATACATATTGCAAAGAACATTTTTATTTGATGATAATCCTGGAGAAAATACAAAATCAAAATTAAGTGACCAAGCCTGGGGATGTGGCTCAGTAACCGAAGGCTTGCCTAACATACGCAAGGAAGGGCATGCATTCCATTCCTTGTGCCACCAGAAAATGTGACTCTTTTAAGATCACCTTTACACTAAAAGAAATCATGTATTTATTATGTAAGCTCAGTACTGTGTTCTTGTGGACTATGAATTCTAGATCATTTTTAACTAGACTATTAGGCTTACATTAAAGATCTCAATTCAGATATGCATCTCACTAAACATTGCTTTTCCTTAGAGGGTAGAACCACTGTTTTCTAGTACCCAAGGTATAAGAAGACACAGAGATCACTTGGGTATGCTCTAAGATCAAAATTACACTTCTAGACATTTTGAGATACAGTTAGCAAAGGGTTATTCTAAATAATAAATCATACTTGCTAAACTTAGAGAATATATCTCATGCCTATCACTACTTTTATTAATTACAGCCTTTTCCCTAGACCCTATAAAATTCAGTACAACTTCTGTTGGCTAAGAAAAGGGCATATTCAGAATCCTTTGCTAAAATTGTACAAATGAACACTAAATTAGAAAACACTAAAACAAAGTTTTGTTATTATCTTTTAATTTTTTATTGTTATTATAAAGGTGATGTATGGAGGGGTTGCAGTTCCCTCAGTCGGGTAAAGAGTACATTTTTGGACAATATCACCCCTTCCCTTGCTCTCGCCCAGTTTTTCCCTCCTGTCTTCACCCACAAGTTGTATAGTGAGAGTCACTGCTAGACACATTGTGTCTAGTGAGAGTCACTGCTACATTTGTTCACCCTTTTTCCTTCCATTTCTGTGCCCACCTTATCCTCCTAAAGGTGGGGACTTGAGGGAAAAACTGGAGAGCAAATAAAGGGGTGACACTGTCTAAAAAGAAATGTATTCACTAACTGACTTATGAAACTGTAATCCCTCTGTACGTAACCTTTATAATACAATTTTTTTAAAAAAGAACTATTAAAAACAAAAGAACAATGCTACAACTGGGTGTCAAGGTTCACACCTGTAATCTAGCTACTCAGTAGGCTAAAACCATAAAGGACCATGGCTACAAGTAAGTTCAGGCAAAAAGTTTACAAGGCTCCATCTCAATCAATAAAAAACAAGGCATGGTGACAATTCATTTAAGTTATGGAGGAAGCATAAATAGAAGAATCATAATCCAGACCAGCTTGGGACAAAAATAATACCCTACTAAAAAAAAAAAAAACAGTAAAAAAGCATTTTTTGTTTTTGTTTTTTGTCGGTCATGGGGCTTGAACTCTGGGCCTGAGCGCTGTCCCTCAGCTCTTCAGCTCAAGACTAGCTCTCTACCACTTGAGCTACAGTGCCACTTCAGGGATGCAGTTCAAGTGACCTTATACCTAGCAAGCATGAGGCCCTGAGTTCAAACCCCAATACTAAAAAAAACCAAACTGATGTGCGCTAGTGACTTATGCTTTTCATCCTAGCTCACAAGAGGCTGAGATCTGAGGATCACAGTGAGACTCTTATCTCCAATAAAACATCAAAAAAGACAGAAGTAGAGCTGTAGCCCAAATGGTAGAATGCTAGCAATGAGCGAAAAAGCTCAGGGACAGTGCCAAGGCCCTGAGTTCAAGCCTCAGGACCAGTACAAAAAATGGTATACTTCATGAAGTACACATATGTTAAATTTGTATTAATGAATACAAGTGTGAAATGAAGTACCTACATACATATAGGAGCAAGCAATTTCCTAGGGTGAACAAAGGTAGAACTGAATAATTATGGGAAATGTAACATCATAGTATTCTCAGTAAGCAATTTGTAAGCAATTTGATTTCTTAGCAATTTATTGAAGGTTTCTGACTACATCTTAGTACAACACTCAGAACCCTTGGTCTCTACTTTTTGCTAATCTGAAGAATCCTAACAATATCACATCGTCTTATTTACTTGTGATAGGTAAGTCTCTATTCTGGAGACCTTCTTTCTGTTGTCTTTATTTTTCTATTTTTGTACCTATTTTCAATCATTTTAATTACTAGAAAGTATCAGTCCCTTAATTTTATTGGCTATTCAAGACTATTCTATGAAATACTTTTTTGCTGATCAATTTCCACTCCTTTCCTTTTCAGTTTTCTGCATATAACAAATTTAAATCCTTCCAGAGCTGGGACTTGGCCTAGCAGGAATAAGGCCCTACATGCAATATCCACAACATAAAAGAACCCAAAAGGGATACAAGAATGAACCCTATTAGGCTGGGTGACGGTGGCTCATGCCTGTAATACTAGCTACTCAGGAGACTAAGATCTGAGGATCACGGTGAAAGCTAGCCTGGGCTAAGAGTCTGTGAGACTCTTATCTACTCAAGATAGTCTATAGTTCCTTCCACATTTTTAATTCTAGTTCTCATATCTAAGCACAATGTGCAAACAGTACCTTGCAATAGCTAAGGTATCCCAGACTCTCGAGATTCCAGTGGGCTGCTCATGTATGCATTCTCACACACTGCCTCTCTCATAGTTGCAGCAGTCTTAATGTAACACACAGAATAAACCTACCTTTGACCACGTGTTCTTCAGAATAATGGCTCTCTTTCCATCACCAAGTGCATTCCTAAAAATAGAAACAAGAAATAAAGCATTTAAACAGTCATTCTTTTAAAAAACACTGCATGTCGCGTATTTGTATGTTCTTGATTTTCTATATTATTATCATCTAGTCAAAAAATAATTTAACTTTGGAAAATCTAGAAAATGTATTTCCATTATAGGAAATGTGGAAAATATAGGAAATCAAAAAGAATGCAATGAGTCATCCAGAGTCATGATCACAACGACCAGGAGTAACGGTACTCTATTTCTGGAGCATTTACTGCATGTGTCTTGCCCACTTCATCTCTTTGCTTAGCCATTATTTGTATGTTTTGCTGCACTATTTCTGACTTTTAATGAAGCTTCTTATCTCCAAAAATACAACACCTGAGTGTTTCACTTTCCACACCTGCTAAACAAACTACACTGAAGAGAGCTAAATCTAACTCAATTACTGATTTTCTGGAGGCTTTAGGAAGTGACTGAACTCCCTCCCTACTTTCTTTTCTGCAGAATGAATATAATTCAGGTCTAGCTATTCTTTTGTACTAGACACTAAATTACACATTGTGTTAGAAAATGTACTTCAAAAACTGTCAAGCGCTACCAAACCATAGGGAGACCCTCAGTTCCCAGCTTTCTAGCCATCAATGACCTCCTGTTCTGTACCACTATTAGACACCATTGTACAGAACCCCATGGGACCCAGCCCCACTCAAGCATTTTCAAACCCTTAAATCAGCCCCTTCCAATAACCTCACTTATTTTGTCTTACTGGCTCAACTGTTCCTACTGTCTTCTCAGGAGGTCAAACTCACTGGTTTACTGTTTTCCCTTTACCTATTTGTCTAAAATAAAATTTACTGGTTCACATTCACACTCATAATTCATCACTCTTAAATTGGGTGCTAGTGGCTTACATCTGGAAACATAGCTATTGGAGGCTGAGATCTGAGGATTGTGGTTTGAAGCCAGCCCAAGCAGGAAGGACCATGAGACTCATCTCCAATTAACCAACAAAAAGCTGTAAGCAGAGCTGGGGCTCATGTACTAGAGTGCTAAGGGATAGCAAAGAGGCCCTAAGTTCAAGCCTGAGTACCAAAACCAAAAACCAAAATCAGTAACAAAGAACAATCCAGCTAACTTAAAACCACCAGAAATTAGTAACTATTAAAAGGTTATGTACAAAAACAACAGTCAGGAAACTTGACAGAGAAAAAAGTTTAACATAATCTATTGATTTATTACAAAAGTAACACTATAGTACATGGAAAAATGCTATTAAGCCAAATGGACATCATACAAACAACAACAACAAAAACAAAAACAAAACAATTCCAGGGCAGGAAATGTGGCTTAGTGGTAGAGTGCTTGCCTAGCATGCATGAAGTCCTGGGTTTTGATTCCTCAGTACCACATAAACAGAAAAAGCCAGAAGTGGTGCTGTGGCTCAAGTGGTAGAGTGCTAGCTAGCTTTGAGGACAGAGAGGCTCCGGAACAGAGTCCAGACCCTGAGTTCAAGCCCCAGGACTGGCCAAAAAAAACCCAAAACAAAACAATTCCAGGAGTCTTGAAAATTTAATAGCAAGTTTTAGAACACAGAACATTTTGATGGCCTTAAGGTATACAAAGATTAGTTTTTAAAAAAAACAAACACATAAAAAGAAGTACTTACTATAAATGTTAAAATCAGTAACATTTTTGGTGAAACCAATATCGGGAGTGAGAATTCAAGCCACTGAGTAGATACATGTAACATATTACAAATATTGTCTAACCAATGATCCTCATCCAGAGCACAAAATAAGAACTTTGCACAAAGCACAAATCAGGAAGTCATTTAACTCAAAGAACAAAAAGAAAAAAGCAAACACTAACAGGTATTTCACAAAACATCCAGCATTGGGGCTGGGAAGGTGGCTCAGTGGTAGAGCGCTTGCCTTGCATGCATAAGGCCCTGGGTTCGATTCCTCAGCACCACATAAGCAAAAAGAAAAAAAAAGCCGAAAGTGGCGCTGTGGCTCAAGTGGTAGAGTGTTAGCCTTGAGCTGAAGAGCTGAGAGACAGCGCTCAGGCCCAGAGTTCAGGCCCCACGACCGGACCCAAAAAACAAAACAAAACAAACTATCCAGCATTAAGCAAGGGTCAGGGATGCGGTTCAGGTGGTGAGAACTGCCCTTGAAGCATATAGCCTTGAGATCAAAGCGGATCACGACAAAAAAAAAAGGGGGGGGGGGGCGATATACATATGAAAACTTACCCAAATTAAACACCCTTAATCAACTTATAAAAACGCACCATATCATGACATATCCACCAGAATGTCTAAAATAATGCAAAGTATTAAGTGCTGGTAAGAACATGGGACTGAAATTCTCTACTCTGCTGCTAAGATGGGAAAATGATACAATCCCACAAGATCTCTGAAAAGTGAAACTGAATGAAAGTATACCTTTGTCCCCACAATTCCACTATGGTTATACCAAATTTGGTAATACATATTCACAAAACAGCACTATCTTAAATGCCAAGTGCTAGGCACTTACCAAGATGCCCACCAACACAATGCATAAAATGTGGTATATTCATGCGATAGATGAACTCTTTACAAGTGCATGCAACAATATGGATCCTGAAAACAATGCTAATAGCCAAATAAAAAAGAGCACGCAGTGCACAGTTCAACTCACATTGCACAAAACTAGGTTAAAGTAACCTGTGGAGTCGTATAGTAATCCTGGGGGGACAAAGTAGATAGGGACTGGAAGGTGGACAAGCAGGACTTTAGAGGCACTGGGCTTGTGAGGCAGGTGCTGGCTTCAGTTGGTGGATTTCTGAAAATTCAACTATACACTTAATGTTGGATTATGTATCAATCTGTTTTCTAAGATTACAAGGAAAGTTTCTTTTGCTGGAATCTAATGTCTGGTTTGACCTGTGAATCACTGTAGCCATGCTGCCATCCTGAGAAGGTGGCCTGCTGACTAAGTCACAGTCTGGTCTAGAAGAATGTAGTCTTATGACACCCTAGAGCCACCGTCTTTTTGAAATTCTAAATGCGGTTCTCTTCACCATTTGAATCAGTTCAATCAGTTTAGTAGTATCTAAAGCCCAAAACATGTAATCCAATGGTGGGTGTGCCTTCTGGGCTTCACACTCTCTCCAGAGCTGTTACAACTGTTTACACTAGCTGACCATGTCTTTAAATTTCTCAATTCACACTAATAATTGTCTTCTATTTCAAGCTTCTCCCTGACAGCTTCTATGGGTAGTAAATGATGTTCCGACTGCTAAATCCAAATACTTTATAACTGCTTCTCAGCAGCCTAGACACTGCTGGTCACTCACCTACTTCTGTAACTCTACCCTGATAAGACAGACAGATAAGACTTCTGTCTGTCCACCTCTGAATAGTCTCCTGGGCTGGCATCCTTAGTAAGAGTTAATGATCAGTAACTGGCCATCAACTATTAAGTGTTCCTCAAGCTAAATCTGTGGTCTCAACTTCACCTGCACATTAGTATCCTTGGGAAGCTTCTCAAAGCCACAAAAAGTCCCATGTCTAAGCTTTAACCTTGAAAGATTAAACAACAATCTCTGGAATGGGTGGTCTTTCTTCAAAGTTCAAGGGATTCCAATGCATAGTCTACGTTGAGACCTACTTGTCCAAGTAACCTCATCCTAATCTCCAAGATCCAATCATCAAGGTCAACTATGTTAAACATGTTTCTTACTCTATTTAGTTCCAGACTCCCTAACTCATTGCTTCATAATATTCCAATGTTGTTGTTCCACAGACACTTCAGTATGTACAACAGTAAAGTCAAGTTCTGCCTCCTAAAAATGTATTCCTTTCCAAATGATCACAGTATCAAAAAGAGGGCTTAGAAGCCCCAGGCTAAGCCAGAAACTTCAGAGCAGTCCTCCTCACTGCCTTCTCTCTCATTTCCCAGCAACCACCATCGATCAACTTTAACTTAACTATCTTAATCCTTCCACTTTTCCTTTTCCATAACTACTATACTAATCCAAACCTTTACTATCACCAGACGGGAGTCCTACAACCGCCACCAACACTTCAAACAATCTCCTCACTGCAAGCAGCATGGCTTTTTTAAGTACTACTACCTCCTCCCTCCAGTTGAAAATCTGCTTACCAGTCATAGCCTCAAAGTAGCCTACATGGCCACATCCTACTACTCAAGCCAAGTGTGCTAACTAAATTACAATAAGCTCCTACTCATCCAAACCACAGCAGCCAGGTGAACAAGTTTGACTTCAGACAGCAACGAAACAGCAGATCTATGAAAATGACGTGACTTAAGAGATAGAAATGGCTGTTTACTATCGAAAACTGTGTAACATGATGAGAATACTGAACAGAGGATAAAAATCAGAGTTATAGTATAGTTACTCCAACTTATTAGTTAAATGTGTTTGCCCCACCTACTGCCTCATACACACAGTAGACATTTCAATAAAGCATATCTATTTTCCCTCCTCTAGTCTCCATGTACATTTACTAGAGTAACTACTCCTCAATACTTTCCCTTCTTCATCCCTAATTCTATCTAATGGCGATAGAGGGGACCAATCATACACCTCAGTCTTTTTCTTATTCTGGGATCTTAAAATCTGGTAAGACCACCAGATTCTCTTTTTTTCCAGGCTTAAACATTACAGGGCCCTGGTTAGCCAGTTCTGTGGTATAGGTGACTTAGTAATGAATCACTCAGTTATCAGCCTTAAGGCCAACTCCAAAGATTCTATCATTGATGGTAATCTGTGATCACCTGCATCAATTCCTTAACTGATTCTAGATCTGGCTGAGGAAGGAGATGCTATTTATTGACCTTCTCATTACTTTCAAGGACTAACTAGATCAACAAAGAAATAATAACTCCAAAAGTTTCTTTTTTCCTTTTTTTTTTTTTGGTCATTCGTGGGGCTTCAATCTCCTCACATGGCCTGTATGCTGTCCCTGAGGACACTCAAGGCTAGCACTCTCCCACTTTGAGCCAT